GGTAGGCAAAGGATCTCGACCAGCAATTCAATGACGAACATACGCATTCGAATCTTGAGCATACCCGCCGTTCGTTTTTCTGCCTTCAATCGATTCTTTTATTAGATTCGCGAAAAAGAAAGTTGCAGGACGTCTGAATTATCTTTCAAATTCATGCAAACAGGAGGCACATTAGCATCAAATTAAAATGGGTTTGGCGCGAATCATTTTTAAACGTACTGTATCATAAGTGTGGCCGCTCATGACTCTGCAAAGTATTTTTAAATAAAGGCGGCTTTTTTAGATGGCAGACTCTCAATATTTGCTTGATACCACTTGTGAGACACCTTTAACTTTACGGACCGATTCAGAATCATCTGGAACGCAGACGTACTTTGGCACAAAGACGACCCAAATTAAAAAACGTCCGGATCGGTCCACTTTTTCGGCCACTCCTCACATAACGCCCTATTTTGGGAAGTCGTTGTAAGGAACAAAATTTCAATTTTCAAAATTTCTTGGCAAATGTGGCTAAGTAATAGTATTTCGGCACTCTAAATTGGTGAAGCCTCTCTCATATACTAACAATTAGGCCTTTTTGGCAAATAAGAGTCTGCATTTTCTAAGAATCATGATATACGGTGGTGTTCACAAAATACATCTATCATGGACCAATTTTCGCAATGAATATTTAAAATTATACTTTTTTATTATATAAATATTTCGTTTTCGTAGAAACGCTTGTTAAAATTGCCCCAACTGAACCAACTTTTTGGCACCAAATGTGAACGACGAAGTATTATTATATAGCGACTTTTTTCGAAAAATGTTGAAAATTGCAATTTTTCCCTTATTTTGGAAAGGCATTATAGCAGTAGTGATCAGAAAAGTGAACCGATCCGAACCATTTTCAATACGATTCGTCCTTGAGTGAAAACACGTCAATGTACCAAATTTCATGAAAATTTCTCAAAAATTGCGATCTGTAGATTGAACGTAAATTTCCCTGGAGATATGTCAGATCTTAAGACCTACGTTTCTGCACCACATTGTACCACAAGTGATGAAGGATATAAACAGTTTACAATTGAAACTTTGCGTCCCATCCATGCAGTTAAATTTGTTTTGACCATAAGCACAAAAGGGGCGCCTATTAAAACCTTTAGCTTGGCATATGTGAACATCGGTTAAGACGTCATTCACGGCCGCCGGATGTGCAAGTGTGACTACCTTCACGTATGTCAAGTGTTGTTAAAAACAATTCTGGTTGCTTTCCATAAGTTAAGAAAAATTAATGAAACAAATGGCCATTCGGGAGGATCGACTCGATACAGAGACTGTATTATATTCCTAATGATAATGTAAGCGTTGACAAAACATGAAAGCTTTATATTTGAAAAGCGATTCGCTAAATCATTCCTACATACATTAGAAGAAGTATTCGTAGCACTTTTTACTTAGCAACTTAATTATTTACGATTCAAATTAACCTATCTTTTCACTATCGAAAAATATTACCCATCGCTTATTTTAGTCGTGAAAATGCAAAAAAATTGCTACGCACCGAATTCATTCATTCATTCAATCATTTATTCAATCAGTCATTCAATCATCCATTCATTCATTCATTGAATAATTAATTAATTCATTAATTTAATAATGTATTCATTCATTCAATCATTCATTCATACATTCAATCATTCATTCATTCAATTTAGAAGAATCATCACCTGGACATTTTAAGGATTGAAAAGTTAGTTGTATGCCTCGTGAAGTGAACGCATTGCTATGAGAAAAAATGATACAACATAGGTTATTGTTCCGTATCTCTCTAAAGACTTCTATAATAATAAAATAGATAATAAAAATTTGAGCAGAACTTTCTCATCGACGATATTTACAAGGAACAATTGACAAATTTGAGTACTCGGGGAGTTAGATTGATTTAATTCGAGTGCCTCACCAAACCCTAGGGAATTGCACAAAATTAATCGAGTACGCCACCATGCAATTGAACATTTTAACCCAATCCTACACTGAGAAAGATGGTTGGATTAAGGCTAATATTGGCGTTGATGAGCAGAAAACTTGGCCTTATTCTCATCAAGCGATTACGCCAGATCAAAAACTACAGCTAGAAAACCTATCAAATAGCTTAAAGTATTATAAGGCATTTACCAAAGAGTGCAAAATTAGCATAAGCGCTTAAATCTTTGCAAGCAGAGATCTGCGTTTGCCGCGAAATGATCAATTTTTTGCCAATAAAAATGTCTAACGTGCGAAAACGTTTACATAAATAAGGGCAATGGCGTAACAGAGTTAAGTGTATTCAAATCTTCCTTAATTTTAATAAAGTTAAGTTCTAGTTTCAACAGTTTATAGACGGTAAGTGCATTTATTTCGTTTATTTACAATTCCATATATTTCATGTGTCGACAAAAGAGCACCCATCTGAGACGCACATAGTTTCCGTGGGAATCTCGTTGGTGTCTCTAGTTGCTAGCAATTTCGAATAATTTAGTAGACTTTATATTCATATTAATTATAATTATAATTATTTTTTTTTGTGGAGTAGTATAAATGCATGTACGTGTCATATAGAATGGAGAATGTGTAGTAGATGCGCAAATATAGGGGGGCTTAAAGGGTGAAGAATGCCGATTATGCTGTTAAATGCAAATGATTATTTGCTTATTATAGCATACTTGTGTGAATCATGTCCATGACAGTTCGGTGGGCAGATGATGCAAGTTGTGTTATTATATGCGCCTTTTTTGGCGATTTTTAGAGGAGATCTTTTTATGGAAAAATTGTGGAAACTCGGCATTTTCAAAATGTAGTGTAAAACCTGTTGTTCCATTCTTGTAATTGATTCTCATACAAATGCAGGGTTAATAGAAATATACTTACTATTTAAGGATAAAACCTTTTGAGACGTCTAATAAATTTTCCGCGGCTATGTATAAATGACAATCTGACAAAATGTTTTTCCTTTACCATCGAGCTTTATTGAACGGTTTAGAGTGTACACACGCAAATTACGTTTGCGACGAGAGACATTTGTCATTTTTATTGTACGTTCGAATGTAGGTTATTGAAAAAAATGCAAGTATTGAAATCGCTGAGATTATATTATTTAATATTTGCTTAGCGTCAACTATGTAGAAGCAATACTCGATGTTTTTTTTTTTTACTTATCTGTTAGTAACATTAAACTATGAATAAATGAATTTTTTTTAATTTTCAATTGTCATCGAAATTTAAAAACTTGCTTTTGATAAATTGCGACCATTTTCTTTACTTAGAATAAAGTTTCTGACAATTTTAGAAAAATAACGTTCATTGCAAATAAGGAAAAGCAAATCCTTGCGATAAATTAAACAGGAAACTACAAAGAAATTGAAATTCATTAAAAATTATTAAAAAATTATTTTCTTTCAAATCCGCTATTTCGAAACATTTTATAACCATTGAAATAATTACTAGTAGCAACAGCAAATCAAATGTCTTACGAAAAAAATTGTTCTTTTTCAGGATGAAAGAGTCAGGAGAAAATTATTTTTCAAAATTTTATTATTTGTTGAGTTGAATGTCGATTGAAAATTCTAAAACAATCTTTTTTATTCGTTTATCATACGTTTTAGGACGAGTTTGGCTTATTTAAATATTTAAAATATTTAGAAACACTTTTTGTAGTGAGCTCTTAAGTAAGTAATAATCCACAGATCAACTTTAATAAAATTTTTGGAAGTTAGAAATATGTAATACACGAGTTATCGCCTGCTATCAATCAACGTCTTAAGTACTGACTGCTGACATCACATTCGAGAAACATTTTTTCTTATAATTTTGTCCATCATTTTTAAATTAGGCCTCTCGTATCGGTTTTTCTCTTAATGAATTTTGATATACACGAAAAATCTTTGGCAGGTTTATTATATTCTGCAAAATGATTTGAAAATGTTCGCTGAAAACTTTTTTGCGAAGCGATAAATTTTCGTGACTGCTGAAGAAACTTTGCTTGCTACTTTTTATTTTGTAACTTATTGCTTTCCCACAACATCACCAAAATTTGTATAGCATGCGACCGAGATGAAAAAGACGTTAATTTTAAAAGTTTTGAAAGACAATGTTCAACAACCAAATTGCTTGAATTTAATTTCAAATCAAATAATTGACAAGCTTGGCTTACGTTTTACTACTGCAGCAACGATTGTTGTCTTTACGTTGGAGCTCATTTGGTCTAATGAAATTATTATAAAAATGAAGATTTGATGTAAGGTTAATAAAACTCCTATTATTTTGATATATTTCAATATTTTCGTATATAAAAACAAAAAAAAAATGGTTGATGAAACGGAAACATAATAATGACAAAGAGTATTATTAAAAAAATAATTAGCGCATAAATTGAAAAAAAGCAAATAAATGATCGGTTAAATCCGACTATAAATTTTAAAAATCTGCGAATTTAAATATTTTATCTATTAATCGGGATAATATCTTCGAAAAGTACTAGGGGACAACATATAAATTTTTTGAAATATTTATTTATTAAGTTTGATCTTTTAAAAGTGGAAAAAACAAATTAAATATTTTATCACAACAAACGAACATAAAGTAGCCGTACTAAAAAGTTCGAACTGTCATAGTTACAGGTCAACAGTTGTACCAAAACTAGCTCTTGCTTAATTTTGTTCATCTCCCGTTTGAGGAAAATGTCCGCTTTTGTTAGAAAATCAAATAGATATATCTGTTAAGACGACAGACTTGCACGCTAGCCAGGCTTGTTAATGAAACCATAAGCCAGGCGTTCCTTTGGGTAGTTGTTTCAAAGCAAAGTTTTAAGCCGAACTGTTCAAAACCTGTCACAAGTCAAAGGATTGTACAATTTTTAGAAAAATTCTTGTAAAATTTGAATGGGGAACTCTCTAAAACCCGACGCATTCCTTTTGCTTTTTTTGGTTGTTGTTTTGCTTGGTTTTGTTGTTGTGAATATGGGTTTATCTCGCTTAGTTCTGTTTTAAAATTATTCAAATTCCTTTCTTTTTTTTTCTTTTTTTTTTTTTTTAGTAAAGTTCTTCCTCATACTAATCTCCCTTGTCCGTCCATCAAAGCTGCTACTCCAAATTCACCTCAGAATTGCTCGTTTTCGCCTCTTTTTCTTCACTTCTTTAATGAATCTAAAAACCGTTTAATATTTTATTTACTTAGCTTTGCGTTTTGCTAGAAATAAATCGATCAGCATCGCATTAACCTTCGGATTTTTTTTCTGCTTCTTGTTTTTTGGTTGGTATTAAATTTGCTAATCCACATTCTAACAATTGCTGCTGCTTTTGTTATTGGTTGTTTTAGACTTTTTTGTTGTTTTATGTTGTTTTAAAAGATATTATGTTTTAACTGTTGTTGTTGACATTGGTGACATTTCACATTTACGTACGACAGAATACACGATTGACTCCATGCAGGCATTTCTCCTGCTCTGTCGGGCACCTCATTTTTTATTTACCTTAAATTTCGCGTAAAAATTTGCAATTTGATCATGACGCACCGGTATGGCATCTAAAATGCCCGTAAAACTGAAATTATTCTGATGACGATTTTTCTCGTGCAAGTAATCGCCAGACAAATAAGTAACAACATTGCATTGAAATTCATTACTGGCATTCGGATCCGAATGGTTGGCCACCAAATGGTTACAGAATTGTGCAATTTGCAAAAAAACTGAAGCTTCACGGTCTAAGACGAAAAAAAAAGATATAAAATTCATTCTAATTCTAAAATATAAATAAATAAAATAAATACAGGTAATATCTTACCCAATTTTCTAGGGATTTTGATAAGAGAAAATGTTAAATTTTCATTGTCCCGTTGAGCTCGCATGTGACGATTACCATGTTTAAATTCTTGTTCTAACCAACGGATGACGTTGCGAGCATTTTCGCTACGTTTCTTCAAATCATCGAGTTCATTGAAGACTATACAGTGAAAAGGGAAGTAACTGTAAGAAAAAGTACTTTAAATTTATTATCCACTAAACTTACCTGCATTCGGTATTAGTACAATGAATTTTTTACTTTTTAGCAAATTTTTTACGATACCATTGTACTCAGTTAAGGCTTTAGCATCTACCACTAAAAAGGGAGTCATAACAATGCTCAAAGGATTTTTACGTAGTTCTTCCTCCAGAGTTTCCACTTCGTTCTTCAACCACAATTTTCCCATAATTTCACATTTTTTTGTCATGGCTTCAGAGCGTTCCTCGTCAGCTCCGCTGCTAGATTGAATTTTCTCACATATTGCGCTGTTAGTAGTGGTAGAAGCTGATGTGCCACCTGCATTAGAAGCCCCCGTTGCTGTTGCAGATTTTTCAGAGTTTCGATTACGCAAATAACCTTTGCGCGGCAGCTTTTTGCACTCCTCTACAGTGTCCTTTTCTTCGTTGCTAGTGTAACTCTTACGTACTATTCCATTCTTTCGATCTGAATAGCGGCGTGTGCGACCCTCAGCTCTTTTGCGTGCTGCATTTTTAGCAGTGCGTCTCTCACGTCTGCGTGACGATTTCTTTTCTTCCCTTTTCTTTTTAGGGTTCTCAGTAAAACGTCTGGTTTTGACACAAAAGCGATAGTTGAACTTCTGCTGCTTGCATATAAAGAAACCGAAATCCACCATTTTGAAAATGCGTAATATGGACTCCTCTTCTGAAGTAACTCTTTCCCTTATGGTCGTCTCCCAATCTAAAGTTATTTGAGTACTTTGAAAGATATCAAAAGTCTTGAAGACAAAATCCTCCGATAGTGGGACATTGGCACGCACATCAAACAGTTCCGATAGATTTCTACGCACATTGTCTATGATTAAGAATTCACGTTCGAAGTAGACCTTGCGTGTAAAAATATCAATATTGCAATAGTTCAAAAGTTTCATAATCTTGTGTATAAATTCGGGATTGGAGCGATAACAACCGAATAGTATTTCATGGTTTATGCGCAACCAATCGAACAAAATTTTCAAAGCTCTCATTGTAGGCTCGGCTTGGGCGAATTCCACGATGATATTGGGATTGATTTTAGTATACTTATTGCGATAAACCATTTTCTTAGGGGGTTCGGTTTGGTTATGGGAGAACTTCTCTTCCGTTTTATTAGCCAAATCTTCGGGTTCACTGGTAGTGAAATTTAAAGCGGTATTATTGCTATGTAGTTGTAAAATTTCAAAACTTTTAAGCAACTCTTCTGAATCGACATCTTGCGAATTCGTGCGATCAGAAGGCAGTTTTACAAGTTTGTCGGCGTTTTCTTCAGGATAGATAATGTTCTCTTCCTCGATGACTATGTCTTCGTTGTCCGAAAAACTCGGTCCCTCATCCACGCCATCACGCGAATTAACACTCTCCTTGGAAGCGACACGAGAAGAATGACGCAAATTGTTATGCTTATGATTGTTGACAACTAAAGAATTAAAAATCAATCAATTAAACAACGATTTTGTGCTTGCAAACTATAAAAAAATGTAAGGAAAATGAATAAGATAGAAATTAATTTTGTTAAACTAATACATCCCCCTAATTTATTAATTTAGAAAATTCATAAGGTAGAGTTGAAATCTGTTTAGTTAATACATCTATACTAATTTAGCAATTACCTTCGTCTTCAGCTTCCTGCTCTTGTTCTGGTTCTGCTGCTTCTATATCGCTGAAATCTGTATCGAAATTCGAGCTTAAATCTGTGTAGTCTTCATCATCTGTAGAGAAGTCTGTATCCATGTCGGATTCCGTGTCATAACATGAACTATCATCAGATTGAGCAATTTTACGTCGGCGACGACGAAGTTTCATGCCCCGTTTTTTGCTTTTACATGAAAGTGGAGTTTTGAGATCACTTTCCTTCGCCTCGTCGGAGGAACGTGTCGATATAGGGTCACCGTCGTTTTTATGAATATGATGATCTTCTTTGTGGACTCCTTTGTTGTTATCTTGAGTTTTGCATATATAATCCTCACGAGAGCGTTGCGAATCGCGTGAATCCGAAGAAAAATCTTTTTGTAAAAACTTATTAGTATAAGCTAACTTTTTTTCGCGTCGCTCGTTTTCTCCCGTAGAAGCTAACCAATTCTTGTACTCATTGCGTGATTTCCGCACCATCATATCGAACTCTTCAAACTTTTTGACATACATTGAATGGAATTCTTCATTTTCCGCAGTCTTGGCCAGGATCAATTGTTCCAAGTTAACAATACAAGCATCCATTAGATCCGAGCAGACAGCCACCAGAAACGCATTAAGCGAATAAACTTTTTGAGAATTAATCATTTTCAATTTTGACAAGCAAAAGAATAGAATGGAAACAATTTTAAAGATGGACGAATCGTCAATATTGAAATTTTTCGAGCACAACACTTTACGAAGATCCACCAAAACGCAATGGCATAGTGGATTAAAATCGGGTACTTCTTTGTCGAAAAAGAATATATCTACTATCAGGTAAAAGCGAGCATAAAAATCTTGTAGGCTGAAAGCTATTTTTTCGGCGTCTAGTTTCTCTAGGTATTCGGCGTGAGATGCGAACAATTTGCAAACATTATTCTCACTTAATTCGAAGGGGATCAAACTAACCAAAGAGTAAAGATAATGATATGTGGAGTCCAAATCATAATTCTGACCGTAATACAAAGTGCCCAATTGATTTTGGGCCATGCCGATGGCTGGATTTAATTTGAAAGCTTCAAAATAGTATTTAGCCGCCTGCTGTTTTGTAATTTTTAATTTACTGTCGATACGAAAATCAAGAAAATAACGGTGTAGATCGCCTAAACTTAATAGACAGGAGTGTATAGTGTCCAAAGCAAAGGATACCGCTTCCACACTCTTATCCAGCGCGTAACTATTAAACTCCTCTATTTCACATCCGTCACCACGGGCTTCCCTATCCTTAAAATGATGGTGGTGTGGCATTTCTTTAATGTAACCCTCATTGATAATGGAGAAATCAATTAGGTATTTTAAGTCCAAATCATATATTTCTTCCATGCGGGCAGCTATACGTTTATAATTCAATATACCAGCGCAAAGGAATTTTTCTAATTTTTGTATATTATCCGCAACACCCGGCTGATTGGTATCGCTCAATTCTTTAGACCAATTCTTTTTAACGTAGGCAATGAATTCATAATAACCCTTATGCCACATAATCTCACGAGCTTTTTTGCCCACCGATAGATAATCTTTAAAAATCAAGTGCTTGCACAGCTGCACCAATTGGGAGCGCTTCTGCTCCAAATCGTTTTGAAATAATTGTGGTACAGTAGAAATTTGCTTCTTTTCATCATCCAGTTGCTTCACGACAATGTAGAGTGAGCTGAATTTATTAATTTAGAAAACCAATGAAAATCATATGAAATTTATTGATTTCTTAATATAACGGCTAGTTACCGATAGATTTCCTTAACCTCCGATGTTAAACCTCTACGCGATGATACGCCATTTGAATCGGCACCGCTCCGTCCGTTTGGCGGAGTAACCCCGTTACCACCAATACTATCGCCGGATACGTTCGAGCCTCCAGAACTTTGGGAGTTGTCCATTGTTGGAATTACGAAGAACTCTACAAAAACAAACTCAATACAAGCTGCGGTAGAAAGTGCAAATTCAATATGTTGTTTAGAAATCAGTAATTCCCTCAAAAAGGAATTTACCGATTTTATTTCTTTTCCACACTAATCAATAAAATTATTCAAAAAATATATCAAACTTAGACAAAAGAAAAAGGTTAATAAAAAGGCACAAATAATATGCAAAATCATTCCGTGTTTAAAGTTATAAAAAAATTTAAAAAAATTATTTAAAAATTTTTTTCTTAAAGATTTGACAAAAATATGAAATTTCAAAACAAAGAAACTGTTGATTGCCAAGTTAAACTTTGATGTAAAAGTAAAAAGTAGGTTCTTAAGGTCAAATAACAGCAGAGAGCGAAAAGTGTAGAGGCATTGCAATATAGTCTTTTATGTGATGATTTGTACGAAAAGTTTATAGCAAAGGATATTTCCTTAAAAAACTTAGTATAGAATACTATAAATTTATATTACTCATTACATCTGAGTTGAATTAAATAATCTTATTTTAAAGTCACGAGAAGATGTTCATTTCTGTAAAGGGAATTTTGCACCCGACCTATAAACCTGACGTGAACGAACCACTTTGACTGCGTATGTAATTTGTGAGAAAAATTCATTTTTCCAAAACTTCCTTATCGGCAGTTATTCGAGCTACAATTTTTATAAGCACCCGAAATTTTCAGACAGATCGGAACCGCTCAGCGTTCGTTTTGGAAATTAACAATAATACGTATGAAAAAATCATGAAATTCTCCTGCGTATAAGTTTATTCTTGCAATGCCACATTTCAAGTAAACGTATCGATGTTGCATGCTTTTTTGTTTAAAAGAAGGAATTTAAATAAATTCTCTAAAAATGTAGGTTCAACGCACGAAAAATAATAGAACAGAAAGCAAAAAAACCGGATCTTTGACTCACCACCTAGAAACCGTAAGAAAATTTTCACCTCAACCAAATATATAATAAAGAAAACTAAATTACTCGGAATTTTCTTGAGTAAAGTCAAAATCAGGACATTTTCGCAGTTAAAAGACGTTCAAAAACAAAACCTTAATGAATTGCAAATATAAATAGATCTAAAAAGAACACAAAAAACAAAAGTCACTTTAAATTAGAGCAAATAAATAAAGCAGAGTTGCGTTTCAAATTTACTCATACATTTATATTAGCATGCCATGCAGTAGGAAATGTTAAATTACTTTATTACGCCTTTATCATGAAATTACTTTTTGTTAGACGTTTTGAATTTTTTTCTGGAACATGCATTAATATGTTTTGTTTTTTTTTATTAACAGAAATATGGAGAAATCAATTCTTTTTTACTTTTCTTTACAGAATGATCAATCGTTGACTTTTTCTACTTGCACAGATTTTTTCCTTTTTTTCGAGATTAGACGTAGCAATATTTATTCTTAGCAGTTTCACTGGGATTTTGTTTAAATTCCCCACTTTAGTTATGATTTTTCAATAGTTTTTATCTTGTTTGGCGTCCTTTGCGCTTAATATAACTTTAAATTATGTTAATGTATATTTATAGATTTTTTCATCGAAAACTACGGCTAACTTAACACTAACTGCGTCTGCTGCTTTTGCTCACGAACAAAAGAAGTTATCATTGCCAGCATGAAAATTTCGACAAGTGCATTTGCTTTCAAGTATCTGACTATGGCCGTAAAACAGAATAATGCGTAATCTATTATTCGGGTAAAGAATTTGCCAGGACACAAACACAATGGAAATTTTCGTTAACAAGTTATTATATACGAAAAAATAAGGAAATCAATGTAAATATGAAAAAAAACATATGGATTGATAATCAAAAGTCAAGGAATCAATATAAATCATAATAACAACATATATATGAAAAATAATCATCACAAAATTTATGCAAAATCAATTTAATTTTTGATTGATTATTAAAGTAATGTATGCAGAAAAAGATTTTAAAAGAGAGAGCGTAAATGTGTAATTCGCCGACGCATTTAATTGAAACAAAACGCTTGGTTAAATGCATTGATATGGAATATATATATTAAATTGAAATTATATTGCTTGTTTCTCATACTTTGTAAACTAACACAGAGTATAAATTAAGATAAAAAAGTGTTAAATTTTTTAAATTTTAAATAATATATGCGTTTCTTGTATGCTTTTTCATTTTGTGTTTTTACATGCACTTGATACATGCACTATGTCACTTCCCACAAAATGGCCTAAGAAATCGGCAAAATGGAAGTCCCCTTCCAGAAATAGGAATAATGTATCATTGTGTTAAGCGCTACCAATGTTAGAGAGATAAGCGTATATTGTATCTATGTAGGAATTAATTTTAGTAAATAAAACATTGGACGTAAAAGTAGTATTGAGTAAAGGACGTTTCGGTTTATTTCTGAATGATGCTGCATCGAGGAATAAATGAGGACGAACATATAATAAAATTTTTCATGAATATACCAATTGGTTTTGATAAAATGTATTCTTCCACTGTATTAAATCGTTGGTTACCCTAAAATGCAGCTCTGTGCGTGCTTCCAAAATATATTACGAAAGGTTTTCTTGACGTTTCGTGGTGGTTTTCTTCTTTCCTTCCTTTTCTTGTGTGTTTTTACTCAAAATGGGTGAGTGCGGAATTTCTAAAGCCCAAAGAATTTCCTAATATCTAGGTTCATCCGATTGTTAGAAAAACTTTTCAATGAAAATATGCCAAATTTGTATGGACAATAAAGAAACGTACAAGGATGCGTCAATATATTTGGAAATGTTTGGATTGCTTGTGGATTTTTTAATAAATGCTTTCGCTTACCGAAAAATACTGTTAAATAGTTCGAACTTAATATTTTAGGTATTAGCCGTGATAGTGCTCATAAGCGCAGAGCCACTGGTGGTAAACGCAAACCATTGCGTAAGAAGCGCAAATTCGAGTTAGGTCGTCCAGCAGCCAACACAAAGGTATGTTTATGTAAAAAAAAGACTAATGTATTGTGATATCCAAAAGTGATGTTAACGCGTGTCAACTGTAACGAACCGACATTTCCGCGCAAGCGGAATTTCATTTCAAAATTGATGATTAGCTAAATTATGTTCGGACTACTGATTGATTCAGCTAAAAGTCAAAAGTTATATTTATCATCTGTATTACGATGCTTTTATTTATTGTGGTTTCTTGCAGTTGGGTGCTCCTCGCGTACACAAAGTTCGAACCCGTGGCGGGAATATTAAATTGCGAGCTTTGCGTTTGGAAACTGGTAATTTTGCCTGGGCTTCAGAAGGCATCGCCCGCAAGACACGTATTGCTGACGTCGTCTATAATGCATCCAACAATGAGCTGGTGCGAACCAAAACTTTGGTAAAGAACACCATTGTTGTGATTGATGCCACGCCATTCCGGCAATGGTATGAATCCCATTATGTGTTGCCATTGGGACGTAAACGTAACCCCAAGCAGCAACAAAAAGAGGATGAAGATGATGTCCTGAACAAAAAACGGAGTGAAAAGACAATGAAGAAGTATCTAGAGCGTCAAAAACACGCGAAAGTTGAACAGGCTCTTGAAGATCAGTTTGTTTCTGGGCGACTTTTAGGTCAGTACTTATCATAATTTCAAAACTTTTTTAAATTAAGTGATGTTCAAACCTATAGCGATCCTACTATATTAAAAAATTTGCTATAAATTTGTTTTAAGTTTTTGGCAGAGCCAGTAGGGCGTGATTATAGCTAGTCATAGTTACTCTGATATTCTATTTCTAGATTTATTTGAAATTTGAAGAAAAAACGGTAACAACTAACAATTTATTTTTCTGTATTTTTCAGCTTGTATTGCTTCCCGTCCTGGTCAGTGTGGTCGTGCAGATGGTTATATTTTAGAGGGCAAGGAACTGGAATTTTATCTTAAGAAAATTAAATCGAAGAAATAAAGAGTTTGGATAGTAGTTTTTATAACTAAAATAAAAATTTGTGTTGTGCTGGCGACAATAATAGATAGGAGGGGACGATGAATTGTCTACAAATTGCCTAACAATAGCAATAAATTGATTTTACGATACGTACGGGTTTTCTCCTTTTTGATAATAAAAATGTTCTGAATCAAAGTTGTTCTACAGATTATACTATAAAAAACAACGTAGACAATGGTTGCCTAGGATGGAAATTAGAGTTCGCTCCGATCGAGGATCTGCGCTTGAGGAAGAGTCTGCTCGGGTACCCGTCTTTGAAGACGCGAATTCAAAGAAATTATTTTTTCGAATACATAGTTTCCAAGTTTTTAGAGTTCAATCCTTCCAAACCGTCAACAAATACAAAGCGATCACCTTTAAAATCTTTATTAAACGTATTCAAATACAGCAGAGAAGTAAAATGGAATGCAGGGGGAGTTTCCTGGCAAAAAATAGCAATATTTTTTTCTTTAATTCGCTTCTGAAGTAATTAATACGTTATCTATGTGTTCATGCCAATACTCATCGTGCGCAGATTTTGTAGAACAATTGGTAAAGCTTTTTTCGCCGCTTGGGTAGATAAAACTCTCCTGACATCACCTTCGAGGGACATTTCTTATTATAATTTCGTCCATTATTTTTAAATTGATTCCCTACGTCTAAACAAGTCCAAGACGACAGAACCCTCATTATCTAAAACATAAATCCCACGACGTGGTACCATGCTGCAAGGTGGAAGAATATTTTCTTCAATATGAGATCCCCAACTCTGATAGACGCGTCCAGTTTCGTCAACGTAAATCATACAACAATCCGAACAATCATCTTCGGCTGAAAAAAATTTAAATTTTTCGTGACACCATGGTGTCAAAAACATTTACTTGAACGCTGCATACCACTACATTTTCGTGTGCGAAATACTGGATGGAAAGAGAAATCGCTGGAAGCTAAAGCTCTGTGTTAGTCTTTCTCTTTCGTGACAGCCACGTAGAATATGGCGGACAGTGATGTCCCATTGGTGTATATTCCTATTATTAGACATGTTATGTAAATATATATGTAACACTAATTTAATATCTATTAATTTACTCTGTGCCCAAATATTATTATAAAGATTTGAGCGAATATTTTCAATTGTGCCTTGACCTCTTGGTCGTACTCCGTTGTCATTATTTGGCAGATCTGGTATAAGTTGTCGGATTTTTTCTTTTAAAAATTCACTTTGGTCTGCTTTTAAGCTAGAAATATATAATAAATACTAAACGTTCAGAAAGACGACAATAAACTTACAAGTCCCAAATAATTTGATCACCAAGGCAGATATTCCAACTAATGTCTTGATGCACATCTTTACCGCTTACTCTTAGATGCTGGCAATTTTCTCAGTAAAAATCATCAGAAATTAACAATCGACAAAATTGTAAAGCTCGACAAAAAAAGGACTTTATATTGAAATAGGGGAGGCTAGATTCGCCTTGCAACGCGTCGGTCGCGTTTATTTACTAGCGCAATGTACTGGGTGACGAAGAGTTGTTGTTCTGCGAGAATTCCTTAGCTGTTTATCTTCAAATTTAAAAATGCATACTATATTACGTTAGAAAATAAATTCGAATATTTGTCAAGAATCGCTTCAACCGATTGGAGTTAAGGCTGAAGAGCATAAAATTGAGTGTCATAATTTTTTCGCTCAGTTAGTGCATCTCCTTAAGTTTCAAAATGAATTTAATTAAAATGAACCAAAAATCCAATTTGCACAGTTTCTGCAAAAAGTTTTTGTATTATATACATATATTAATAATTAATAAGTTGCATAGAGGATATGGGCTTTTACTGTTTTTTTATGTTTATCTTATTATTATTACTATTATTATTATAATTTTAGACTAATGGAATAAGTTCTTAGACTCAAAAAAAGACATTGAGCGCTAGCAACACAGGCTATCGGCTCTAATTTATTCAAACGTACACTAAATATTGAGCCTAGTAGCGTTAATAAAGTAAAATGTTGTATTGATATTCTGTTCTGTAGCTGATCTTAGAATCTCCTTAAGACTAGTCACTCCAAATGGAAACCTTCTAGCAAAGGAAAACTTAAGGCAGTCACAGAGAAGGTGCTTTATAGTGAGAATTTCTCCATAATTTGCAGATTGGGGAGGAAGACTTCTTTAAGATCCATTGGTGAGTTGCAATTGTATGGCCAAGGCGAATTCTCGAAAATGTTTGGATCTTGATTTTCTCAATATTCGTTGGATGTAAAGGTGAAGTTAATTGCGGTTAATAAAAGAGTAGTGCTGGTAATAATATTGTAGATTTCCTTTTGTAATTTTCTCTTTAACTTAATAAACAAATTGGGTAACAATTTCAATCGATTTTTTTACTTCTAAATATTACATAAGTTATATTATATATAAACTCAAATAAAAAAATTACATAATTGAACCCATTGACTACCAGCTAGGGGATATTTGATAGTGTTTTTTTTTAATAAAAATTACTGTAAATGCTATTACAATATTATATCAGTAACTTAATGTAATTATATTTTGTAAACTTTCATGTATTCTTCAAAATAAAACCTTGGCACCCAGGGCAAGACGCTCTAAATATGTCTGGCAGTCAATGGGTTAATATCTCGGCATCGCTTTTAACATATCTTCAATTTATGGCATTTTAAATTGCTTCTTACAAGTTGCTTTTAACATATTTTAACAAGTCTGTTTTTACGTCTTCTTCCTCAAGTGCTACTTACTTAATTATACCTGTATGTTTTTACGGTTCCCAGTAAATTTTCGGCTATTGATTTTCTGAATAGAAAATAGTTGGCGTTTTTGATATACATTCTTGAGCGTGAATGGTTTTTCATATACATTTATAAGTTGCTTTGCTGATCGAAAAAGACGACAACACATATAATTTAATTTGATATATATTGTTATGGAAATCCCAAATCCTGTCCATTCCAGCTAAGTAATAAGAACCCCTAAGAGGGAAAAACTAAATGCACATTCGCAGCATGCAGCTGCGGGCCGAGGAACGCGAGTGCCAGAAAAGCAGGTTAACGAATTAAAAATAAAACTATGAAATTAGGTACTAGTAATATGATGGCAAAAATGTATATAAATAAAATATTTGTGGAAGGAAGAGTTAGTCAGGCAAAAACATAAAAGTTGAGAGTCCAAAATAAATTGTGAATAATCCTACATTTAAGGAACATAATTGTAAATAAATGATCCTGCTGTTAAGGAATGTAATTGTAAATAAAAAAACTTTGGAGTGTATTTCTCTTGACCAAAATATCCGCGGTCCAGTGATACGAACTGTATCTTAGAAAATAAGCGAATTTTATAACAAGTAGTGTTAAAAGTAAGATCGTGGAAACCAAAAGAAATGGTGAAATTAGAAGAACTCAAAGTGGATCAGCTCAAACAAGAGCTGGAAAAAAGAAACCTTCGTGCAACCGGTAGCAAAGCTGAAATAAAACAAAGACTGGTCGAACATCTAGAAAAAGACGCAGAGGACTTGTTCGTACTTGAATTCGAATATAATATTTAAATTAAGCAGTTTTTACAACAAATACAACAACAAATGCAACAAGAAACGAAAAAAATGCAACAACAAACGCAACAACGAACGCAACAAATGCAACAACAAACGTAACAGATAGAATCAAAAATTGACGAGAAAATTCAGGAAAATCAACGCGCCCTGGGAACACATATAGACGAAACGTACCAGCAGAAATAAAAGCCTTAAAAAAAGAATTGGATAAGCTACAAACTAATGACGTAACCACCAGCTCTATCAAAGTAAAAGCACCCCTATTTGACCGCAGCACTAACTTCAACGCATTCAAGCTACAATTTGGTGTTGCTGAAACAGTCGCCTTAATAGCCTCCTTGCAAGGAGCAGCAGCGGAAATTATCCAAATAATCCTGGAATGAAAAAGAACGGAAATCGCGAAAATTATGGATGCATTGGAAAGAAAATATGGTAGCAAAAATGTGAAGGAGGTAAGCCACCTGGAGTTGTCTTCGCGCTGCCAGAAGCTGAACGAAAGGATCAAGATTATGCTATTGTCAATCTCGCGTATATCGGTGTGCCCAACGACGTGCTGGACAAATTAAAAATAGACGTCTTTGTTAAAGGATTTCGTGACGTGGAGCTTGGCTTCGCGCTTACACAAGATGCAGCTAGTGTTTTGTGGACGTCAAGCATGAAGGTGAGACGCACGGAAGTTACCAGCGAGAACGATATTTTGGATGTGATCTGCGCCGAGCTTCCACAATCCCTGCGCGAAAATAAGCAAATGCCGGCTTCAAAAAAACGCAAGTGTTATTCCTGCCAAAAACCTGGTCATTTTGCACGGGAATGTCTATAAAAGGACAAAAGAACCCACTCCACATCGCATACATGAAAAATTAGTGAAGATGCCAAGCGAAATATCCGATAAACAGGCGTCAAACTAAAAAGAATCAGCACAGTGGGGCAACATCTGATTAAGAAATTTAGTAGCCCTATGGTCGTTCTTACTCAAGCAAAGAGAAGTAACAGCGGCCTAACGATGGGAAGATCCAAGGCTGCAACCACATCATCACGCTGGACACTGGTGCCTCTCATTCAATTATCAACAGCACAATAGTCAAAGAACAATTCGTCCCGTTAGTTAGAAAATGGTTTCGAACGGTAACAGGTGAGGAGGCTGCTGTTAAAGGTAAAATTATGACAAACATTTCGATAAACGATGTTTCGATGAAACATGAATTTCTGGTAGCAGATATAATGCACGAGGTAATATTGGGGACAGTTTATATGGCAAAATATGGCTTCGTACTAAATATGAAAAGGCAAGTGTTACAATACGTTAATGTGACTTTGCCATTGGCTGTGGGATACGACAGATAAGTCGAAGTGTTACAAGTTGTAGTATAACGACAACAGAAGATCCCTTCAAACTCCGAAGCAATAGTGTGTGCCACAGCTACCCAAGAGCTAAGGCTAAACAGCAATGGGTTGTCGAGC